ACACACACACACACACACACCACACATACACCCCACACACATACACACACACACACACACCACACACATACACACACACACACCACACACACACACACACCACATACCACACACACACCACATGCCACACACACACCACATGCCACACACACACACACACACACACACACACACGCCCCTAAACTTTGTTTGTTTCTAAGTATTATGTTTTAAAAATTATTCAAGTGTTTGACAGTGTATCATATATCAGAAAGGAAAGATCTGGTGAGGGATTGATAATCAGCTGCTGAGATACTAAGTGGAGGACTTTTTGTGTTCTGAACAGAGTACCCATTTTTTAGTGAAGCTCCAAACTTTGCTGATCAGACTGGCGTGTTTGAGTACTACACGAATAACGAAGACCTCGAGCATCGGTTCACACTGCGCCAAGTTCTCAACCAACGACCTATTACCTGGGCTGCAGATGCTTCCAGCACAATCAGTATTATAGGCGATTACCACTGGTGTGTGAGAGATGCCCTCAGTGTATAAGCTTGTGATTTGGGGTACATTCTGAGTGAAGAGGTTCCAATAGGCCTTCTCCTGCCAAGAATCTAATAGGCGGTGGGTCATAATTATGCGACCTCAAATGAGCAAATTAGCTTTCATGTCCTTCCTTCAGATCCAGTTTGAAAATAACTGCAGTCATAGAAATTTAGATTTAATTGGAAAATTGAGGATTTCTGGATTATAGTTTAATACTTACTTGCAGGCCTTGTGATTTGAACGCTTCTAAGTTTACCAGACTTGATTTGTTGAGCTGATGTTGCCACCTCCTGGACAAACAGTAGAATTACACTGCCTTAGCTAGTGTAGGAAGCTATTTATACAGTAGACCAGCTTTACTTTTTAAATTTTTCTTTTTACTTTTTTTAACTGTCCAGTCGTTACCGCCCCCTCCTTGTCCGCCCTCCCTCAGTTCCTCATCCCATTCCTCCTCCCCACTGTCTCCAAGAGGATGGTCCTCCACCCCAACCCTGCCAGGCCTCCACACTCCTTGGGGCTTCAAGTCTCTCAAGGGTTAGGGGTGTCTTCTCTCAGTGAGGCCAGAACAGACAGTCCTCTGCTGTACATGTGTTGGGGGCCTCAGACATTCTAGTGTATGCTGCCTGGTTGGTCTTTTAGTGTCTGAGAGATCTTGGGGGTCCAGGCTAGTTGAGACTACTGGTCTTCTATGGGGTCACCCTCCTCCTCATCTTCTTCCAAACTTTTCCTAATTCAACCACAGGGGTCCCTGACTTTAGTCCATTGGTTTGGTGTAATATCTACCTCTGTCTCAGTTAGCTGCTTGTTAGGCCTCTTGGAGGACAGCCATGCTAGCCTCCTGTGTGTTAGCACACCACAGCATCAGTAATAGTGTCAGGCCTTGGAGCCTCCCCTTGAGATGGATCCCAAGTTGGGCCTGTCACTGAACCTCTTTTTCCTCAGTCTCTTCTCTGTTTTTGTTCCTGCAGTTCTTTCAGACAGGAACAATTCTGGGTCAGAGTTTTTGACTGTGGGATGGCAACCTCATCCCTCCACTTGATGCCCTGTCTTTCTGCTGGAGGTGGACTCTATAAGTTCCCTCTCCCACTGTTGGGCATTTCCAACATGTTCTTTTGCTCAGGCAGTCCAGAAACTCCCCTGCACTAAAGCAACCCCAGACCTTTGTGCCTAATTTCCATGCAATTTGGTGTTTTGGTTTTATCCTGTTTTATTTTCCAACATTATGTCCTCTATTCAGGCAGCAGGATTGGTTCAGAGAGTCGCACAGATGCCATGCCTGCTGCTGTGGGCTGGTGAGAGAAGGAGTCAAGGGCACATGTAAAACTTTCACAACTGCTGATGGCAGATGCATCATGCTCAACTTGTAGATTGAGAAAGCGAGTTTCTGAAATAAGATGACACCCACAATTCCATTTTATGTAAGTGGCAGAATCAGAACCTGGCCTCTCTGGTTCGGTGGTCTATGCCAGAAGCCTTGCTTTAATGGGCCAGTCTTCTTCCTTAGAGAAGACAGGAGAGATCGGTTGTGTGCAGGGTTGTTAAAGTAAAGCAGTCAGTCCTCAGCAAGGCTGTGCCTCAGAGCCCTGCCTCAGCCCTAGATTTTAGTGAGAACCAGTGTGGTAATTTGAGCACGAAGGACAGGCTTTGCTGAAGAGATACTTAAGAATTTCTGTCTCGTTTGTAAGCTTTGGTTGTGATCCAAAGATCTCCACAAAATGACCTCTTCTTGCTCACAGCTTAATTCTCTATTACATGTGAGTGTTCTCTCTCTCCCTCTCCCCCTCCCTCACGCTCCCTCTCTCCCGCTATATGTAATACGGTTCAGCTGTTCACAGTTCACTAAAGAGACTCTGAGGAATGTAAAGGACATGTAAGAATCCATTATCCCCTACCTCATGTCCACAACAGATGCCTTGGTGTCCTTAGTCTTACTTTAGATAAATTGTAGGATTTGTTACTTGACAGTATGCACATGTCTTTTCTATCTGCTGTTAGATGCTGAATATGAAGTGGTTGCTTACAGGGATGATAGTTTAGAGTGATAGTGTTGTCTCAGAAGGAAAGTGCTATACCCGGTAACATCTTTAAGAGGAAATCAGCCTAGAGGAGAGCTTATTGTAAAGGCTCTGATGGTTCCTGCTTGGCAGACTCTTTCTCCACCCTTGATACATTCCTTTGGACCAGGGAGCCTATAAACAGTGCTTACCACATCTGTAAAGGTATCAGGCAGACAGCCTATGCAGTGTAAAACACTTCTCAAAATGAGATTTGTGGACCAATATCCTCATATCATCTGGGAAGTTTAGACATGAATATTCAAGGGCCCGCCTCAGACTTACTGAGTTAGGCCCTGGGAGATGGTACCATCAGGCTGAGTTACAAGCCTTCCGTCATATTTCAGAGATCTTGCTGCAGAATCACTACAAAATACTGTCTTCACATTTTTTGAGATTTATTTTTTTCTATGAATATGGGTGTTTTGCTTTCATGTGTGTCTATGTGCCATGTGTGTGCAGACCTGGCAGAGTCCATACAAAGCCTCAGATCTCCTGAAACTGGAGTTTTATACAGTCGTAAGCCTCTGTGTGAGTGCTGGGAATCAAACCAGGGTCATCTGGAAGGGCAGTCAGTGGTCTTAAATGCTGAGTCTTAAATGCTGAGTCTTAAATGCTGAGTCTGCGCTCCAGCCCCCAAACTGACTATCATATTAGAGTCAGAATTTAGTTAGATCTTTATTCAGGCATTTTCAAATCTTGATAGGTATGAATTATACTCTGGTCTCAAAGTAGCTTAAGTTCTGCAGACATCTCTTCATGGGCTGCATGCTACACTGCCGATGGAGATGCCAGTAAAGCTATCTGTTCACAGTCACGGTAAAGCACCTACATGAAGTGTAGAAATGTCTCCTTTCAGTGGCACACTCAAGGGATGACAAAGTATTTTAGCATATCTACACAAGAAACATGCTGTCCCAGTGCTGAAAGCTCATAAATATTGCCCAGGACCCACTAAAAGAATCAACAAAGTCGATTAATTTAAGCATGTAAAACTTAAAACAGTCATTAGTGAGCATTCTTGAAGCCCATCATTGCTACAAGCTTACAGTGTAGCAAGTCGCTCTCTCAGCTGAAGATGGGAGGCATTTGTCATGAAGTGTCATGCTGGTGGGAGATTAGAGCACAACTGAAGAGGGTGATATAACCGCGCCTTTGATTCGGCAGGACCAACATGACCGTGCACTGTGATGTTTACATAGAGACCCCTCGGAGCGGCGGTGTGTTCATTGCTGGGAGAGTGAATAAAGGTGGCATCTTGATTAGAAGTGCTACAGGAGTTTTCTTCTGGATCTTTGCAAGTGGCTCTTACAGAGTTACAGCTGACCTGGGTAAGTGACATGTTTTCATAGGTCATAACTTACTTTGAGCCTGTCTAAATGTCTGTGTCTACTGAGTTGAATTTCAACATGTACTAAGCAATGCAGAATCATGGCTATTTGTAAGGAGAAGGGCAGCTCAGTGAGTGAGAAAATAGCAGTAGAAAGGCCTTTAGGGCATTTGGGGCATGGAGGGCTGTGAGAGGAAGGTTTGTGAAGAATCCTGTGAAGGGGTGACGGGAGAACACTCTGAGGAGACTCTCATGAGTAAAATGTCGGTGCTCATAGACAAAGCAAGTGGAGCCTCTTAGAATGGAGAGCTCCTCTTCCCTAGTCCATGTGATGCTTGGGAAGAGATTGCCTTTCCTCACGGGCACGTGTCAGTAGCAATGGACTTTACACCTAGGTCACGAGGCTATAGTGACACAAGCCCCTGTGGTGGTAACTTCTTGATTCTCAGTCTCTTGACTTACGCCTATATTAGTCAAAAAACAAACAAAAAATAACCCCAAACCAAACCAAACCTATAGTTTTCTGCTCTCTGCCCCAGCTCTGAGAAAAGTATTAAAGAGGTAACAGGTGGTAAGAATGCTGCCCATCCAGGATGTACCTCACTGAGGTTTTGATCCGAAGCAGAGCCAGAGACATGAGTTGATTTTCCCTGAATACCAAAAACTGGTAGGTGGTGGATCTGGAACAAGGAGTTTCAATCTGCATCCTCAGTCCTCACTGTTGCAGTTTTAAATCACCTGCTTGATGTCTGCTCCTAGGTTTCTTCCAGCATTCAAATGTCATACATGCAAAGTTAGCTTATTCGCTGTCTATTGTAAGTCCATGCTGTTCATGTGAGCAGATCTGCTCACTGGCAGTCTTTTGCAGTCTTAGGCTGCTCCAACCAGATACAAGTTACCCACCGGCTTAGATGGTAATATATTAGACTAGTTAGTTTAAGGTTTATCTCACCCATTCTGTTGTGAGTGTACATATGTTCTGTGGTGTAGAATAGTCTCTTAATACATACTTGTGTAGTGTGTAGCTAAATAAGGTATTTTCCTTTTAAGTCAATTATCGATCTGGAAGTGAAGGAACAATGTTTCATTGAGGTAGACTTAACTACATACAGGTGCCATTTACAAACCTCCCTGGGCTGCATGATCCTAGGATTTAGGTCTTAAAAGTAAGCCAGTTGAGATAGTCCTTTCGTGTTACAGGTGGATGGATAACGTATGCTTCAGGACGTGCGGACATTACAGCAAAACGATGGTATACACTCACCTTAGGCATTAAGGTGGGTATTGCTATGAGACAGGATGGAGTTAAAATGTTTGTGTAACTTTCTAGAATTTTCTGTTGTAAAACAAATTTAAGGATGTGACAAATGATGAAAAGAGAGAGTCTGCTGAGAAATCATTAAACCGTCTCCACAGCATGAAGGCGTATGCCAGTGACTCCCATGGGAGCCAGGAGTCCACTGTTTAGACCAGTGTTTCTTTTTTAACTTGGTTTTTGCCTTTTAAATTGAAGAATGATTAGTCAAGTCAACAAGTGAATTGTGGTTCTCAATGTTCTTGAACCAAGAGTATAAATACAGCTTACAGGAGTATGCAACGTCCTAGAAGCTTATTTCTGATCGGTTAGAATCATTTACGTATAAGCACAGTTTTCTACAATTTTATTATTAGAGGACAAAGTAGAGAATTCACAGGATAAAGGGAATCTAGCGATCATCAGCAGTGCAGCATCCGTGGTTGATCACGAAGTTAGACTGGCAGTGCTCCCAAAGGATGCTGTGCAGTGCTCTCAAAGATTGCTGTGTGGAGGAAGTGTCGGATGTGTGGCTCTCCTGAAGCAGTCCTTCCTGCTTTTGTTTAGGTTGTAAGCAGAAACTGGAATTGAGACTCAGAGAACTTTTAAATTTGTTTTCTGTTCCCATCCATTTCATTTTTAATGAAATGTAATTCTCATTTTAATTCATTTAATAAATGAATTCCCATTTTAAGTTGTTTATTAATTAAAGTTGAGGTCTACTTGGGACGGGAGGTAGTTTCTTTGACCATACTCTCCTCAGTGCACATGATTCGTCCTAATTGTTCTTTGATAGAATGATCCCAGACATAGTACCTGAGTGCTCATGTGGTATTGTTGCTGAAGGCAGGTATTTAGAAGAAGGAATCACATTTTATTTTTTAAATTCTTTTTGAGGATTTTATGTAAAATATTTTTTATTATATTGACTCCTCTTATTTCTTACCAGAGCTACCCCTCTTCTCTACCCACACAACTTTGTGTCCTCTTTTTTTAAAAAAAAAAAAATCAAGTCCAGTTTATGTTGCCCATATCCTCTGGGGTATGTGGTTCTCCATTCGAGCATGTTCCATCCATCAGGGCAACACACTTAATAGACTTTCCCCCTCACTGCTGCTGTCCATGGCCAGTGGCTCCTCAGCCAGGGGTGGGACTTCATAGCCACTGCTTCTGGGCATGCGTGGATTTTGTCTGACTTGAGCCTGTACAGGTCTCATGTGTGGTGTAACAGTCGCTGTGATTTCATATGTACAGCTCCCCTGCTACGTCCAGGAAATAGTTTTTGTCATAGTCACCCACTGCCTCTGGCTCTTAGAATCCCTCCGCCTCCCCTTCCTCCACTGAGCCCTGAGTCTTGGGAAGATGGGGTGTGATACAGACATCCTATTCAGGGTAGAAGATTTAGAAGTCTCCATTCTCTGCACGTGGATTAATTTGGGTCTCTGTGTTAATCACCATCTACTACAGAAGGAGGCTTCTCTGATGTTGCTTGAAAGATGCATTAGTCTCTGGCTCTGGGCTTAAGTCATTAAGCGTTGGCTTAACATTATGTGTGTTAAATGGAAAGATAGTAGTGGTGGGATCTCTCCTGGATCCTAAGACTTGTCTAGCCAAAATTTCCTGGTCTTGATAATGGTGCTAGGTAGGAAAGAAACGCTAAAAGGTCTGTTCCTAGGTCCAATTCTGCCACTAACAGATTTTTGAGATGTTGGGCAAATCAGTTAACTTCTGCCACTCTCTGAGGTACCTTCAAGATGAGCCATGCTGTATAAGGAATTGATTCTCAGGCTGGGCAAGCATTTTACTTGAAGAAGCCAGACAGGAGACACCTGGGCTTAGTGGTCCATGTGGTCTGTGCTGCACCTGTTCAACGCTGCTCTTAGAGCCAGAGAGGCATGGCAGACGAGGTACAAGATTAGTGTGCCTGCATTCCAGACAGTGCACTACAGCCATGGGTGGTTGGCCTTGAGGCCCCTGTTTGCTTGAGCTTTGTTCTAAATCTGTAACTTACAGTCGATTACACACACAATTATGGAGTTTGGGGTAGTGTGATAAAATAGCCCCCGGCTCTGACTTTCTGACTGGGGAAGTTAGAGAAGACTGCGCCAAGTGAGTGATGCTTGAGTTTAGACGTACATGAGGCAGAGAGCGAGCAGAGTATAAAAGGCTGCTGCTCGGGCCTTGTGAGTGGAGCATCTGGGACTCCAGGATGCCTGGAGCCTGGGGAGTGGTCCAGGAGGTACGATGGCCCCGAGGGACAAACTGTGTTTACTATGATGTGTGTGTGTGTGTGTGTGTATGTGTGTGTGTGCATCCTTTGACCCACTGCCAACAGTTACTGCCCTAGAAGTGGCAGAGGATATCCAGGAAGTGCTCTGAGATGGAGACAGCGGGCAGGTGTGTAGTCAGAGGCACTGGTTTCACACTGGGCATTAGGTGACTTGGATTCATTCAACTCCTGGCTCCTCTGGAAAATCTTTGACATGGAATTTTAATCAGCCTAAGCCTCAGTGTCTCGACCCATAAAATTAAAGAGCCTTGCATTATCATTTTGAGACAGAAAGGTTTGTGTTGCGTTTTGGCCTGATGGTTTGAGTCTCCAGGTCTTTATCTTTTGAAAGTCTTGTTTTCTATGGCTAGCTGTATACCTGGTGTGCTTTTGAGTGTGTGCTCATAGTGTACTACATTAGTGGGAATAAAGTTGAAGTTTACAGTTTACTGCGTGCCAGACAGTGAGGGAAATGGAATGGCCACTTTCTGAGAAAGCCATACTTGATGTCTTTCCATCATTACCAGGAAATCACACCTCACATACACTCCCCTCTTCCTTCTACTTTATCCATTGTTCTGTTTAACCCGTGGCTACTGCTCTTCTGACGGAAGGGTAGGCATTCCATCTGGCTTGGTAGTAACATGCTCCTCATGGGGACAAAAGGGGTAAAATAAAGCTAATTCCTCTTCTGGCTGAGTGTGTAGCCCTTAATTAGACCTTAGGTACATAGCAGTTTGCAGCAGGCATCTGGGCTCCAGCGAACTCTGGAGGAATCACTCCACTTAGCCAAAGTACCAGTGTGTGCAACTACTGAGTTATTTTAATGGATTTTTGTCTGAAGCTTCATAATACTATATTATGGGCTTTTTTTGTTTTGTTTTGATTTTGGTGGAACATCAGAAAATATCGAGATCTCATGTATTTGGGGAACCGTTTAAACAGGTACTTCTTATTAATTCTTTCCGAAAAAATTTTGATAGATTTCAGGCTTTTGCTGAAACACATGAAATTGTATTTTACAGTTCTAGCCTTGGATGAGAGAGGAGGCGTTTGTTCCACTAAGTAGCTGAGGTATATTCTTAAATAGACTTCAGAGCATCGTTTCCATTTTCAAGGGACACATTTCTTTCTCCCGCAGGGTTATTTCGCCTTTGGTATGTTGAACGGCAAGATCCTGTGGAAAAATGTCCCTGTGAAATACCCAGGGCACGGCTGGGCTGCGATCGGAACGCACACCTTCGAGTTTGCACAGTTTGACAACTTTCACGTGGAAGCTTCTCGCTAAGTCCTCACAGGGCGTTAAGACAGGATTTGGATTTTCTATTTTTGATTGTGGTTCAGGGCCAATTCTGATTTTGATGGATCTATAGATGAGCCTTTGAGGCTGACAATAATGAGGAGTAAATAGGGGACATGGTACGTTCTTGTTGGATCCTGTGAAAGATTTCTTTGGAGCCAACTCCAGAGGGGATGCAGACAGTCTTTGGGACTGCCTGGGGTAGCTCTTTAAGGCCCACTGTTGGTCAGCCCCATCCTTCAGGAGTGCTTGGGTGGTTCTGGCCTTGTAGCCTTTGCACTGATCCCGAGGTAGCTCCCTCCGTATTGTTTGTAAATGATCATGCATCTGGCGGGGACCACAGAGGTGTTTTTGTGAGCTCTGACCACCGGCCTTAGCCCAGGCTTCCTTAGAAGATGCTGATGGCTAAGAGGCTACCAATGAGCACTTCAACAAATACTTCAGTATGCAGCCTTCTCTCCCTCTGTCTCTCTCTCCCCCACCCCATCCCCCTCTCTTTCCCCTCCCTCCCCCATCACTGTCTCCTCGCCCCCCCCAACCCCACCAGGATGATATTTTTGGAATTGTGTGAAATGATGGGATGATTTGAAAATTACCTCATTAATAAACTAACACCAAAGCCATTTTTGGAGCCAGATTAATTGGGTTATTGTGCTTTTTAACTATCTTACTTCCAACTTTTAAATGTCACCATCTTTATATCTGCCTTGAGAACATTTCCCCCATATAAGCCAATGCTGTAGGCGAGTCTGGCAGCTTCCCTGTTCATTTCTTGTGCCTTTTGCAGTATGTCCTCACAAGGGTCCAAACGCAGCCTAGCACCGGTGAATGAATGCCTTCATCTGTCTGTGCATGGCAGGAGGATGCGTAACTAGCTCACAGATTTGGACCATCTCCTGATGGTTTTGGATAGATGCACTTACTATATTCCCAGTGTTTATATTTAAATGTTGTCAAGCATGTTTCTCATTAGTGTGATTTATGTAACATTAATGTAACTCGTAGAAACAGATCAATTTTCCATGTGGGTAAAGTGAATTCTGGAATTCTTTATAAGGAAAAATGACTCACTGACTTGACTCTGCTCCATAGGAATGTGTAGTGAGTGCTCTAACACGGGCAGAAGTACAGTGAGGTCTGCTTTACTTTCGAAAACTTGAAACCAAGGCTAAATGATTTATTGTTTAGATTTTAAAATATTTTTGAAAAGTAATTCACAAGTATAATTTGTATATCATAGAATATTCTTATTTTAAGTGTATAGTTTGCATCGGTAAATGTAAACATTCCCTTGTAACCCACACCCCATTGAAGCTATAGGATATTTGTATCACTCCAGAAAGTTCTCTGTTACTCCTATACAATCAGTTCCTCTCACTCCTTATTTCAAGCAACAGTGACATCTCTGTTGCCAAAAAAAAAAAAAAAAAATTGTTTTGAAAGCATGAAAGTGACAGGGAGTGCTATGTACTCTTCTGAATGGATGTCTCCCCTCAGCATGATGCTGTAAGATTTGTCCAGACTGTAAGATTCTGCCAAAACGGTGCACTCCTCATTTCTGAAGGGGACCACACTGAATGGATGGACCACGATTTGGGTTTCCAGCTCCTATTTTTATGAGATTAAAAATAAAAATCATAACAGCATTAACATACAAATTTTTGAGAATTTGCATTTCTTTCTTCTGGACTAATGGTGGGGGGAGAGAGATTACTAACTCTTGTGTTAAGATTTGTTTAACTTCATGAGAAACCATCAACTTTTCCCAGAATGGCCATGTAGTGTTACACTCCCATCAGGGTTAGAGCCGCCGGCGCTGTGCATTGTATCTGGAATATATTAAGATCTCTCTACATACAGTTGTGTCATCTGTGGCTACAGATGGTTTTGCTTCCTTCCCAGTATCTCTGCTTTGAGTCCGAGGTTTCTGCCTCTGTGCTGGCTGGAACTTTCAGGTCCATCATTGGGAAGTGTTAAGGACATATGTCCTCTCTTTGTTCCATCTTAGGAAGAGTGTCTTTCTTATTAGTGTAATATCCTTGCTGGCTTCTTTTTCCTCTTCTCTTTAAAGTTTCCTCTGCTTCCAGTGTTCTGACATTTTTTTTAATATAAGTAGGAATTAGATTTGTTAAATACTCTATGTTTGATGAGATAATTGTATGGTTTTTTTTGTCTGTTTATGTATATATTCTTCCCCACCCTGTGTCTACACTGGCGGATCTCAGTTACAAGGATTGGAATAAGGGTATTCATATCTATGCCCATGTGCAGTATTGCCCTAGTTTTTTTTTTTTTTTTTTTAATTATGATGTCTTTGTCTGGTTTCAGCTACAGGGTTATACCTTCTAAAATTAACTTGGAAATGGTCTCTCCTCCTTGTTTTTTTTTTTTCACTACTTTGTGAGATTCTTAAGTCTTAGAATTCATAAGTTTTCTCAGTCAGGGTCCAGATGAAATACAAAACAGAAACCACACCAGAAAAAAAAAACAAAAAAACAAAACAAAACAATGACACAGGATGATAAGTAGCCAGATGAGATAAACTATTAAGAATTAAAAGAACTCTAATGGACTTCAAGAATCCACTGGGCCTGGCAGTCTGTGCCTGCCATCCCAACACCCAGGAGGCTGAGCATGAGTTAAAGGACACCCTGTGCTGCACAGAAAAACAGTGCTTCATCTTCGCCCAAGCATCAGCAGGGACTGGCTACTTCCTTGACTGCAATAGCCTACCAAGGACACAGCAGAAGGCAGATTTGGTAGAGGCCTTTCTCACAGGCTGATGCTTGGCTCTCCCTGAAGCTGGTTTCACTTCAGCTCTGAAGGTCTGTGAGTTTGCCGAGATGCGTGCTGGAGCTGGCAGCTAGGAAACCTGCTTTCTGGAGAGGACACAAGAGTGACAAAGGGCCAAACATTAAAATTTCTGACATGCGTTAGAGCGTGTGTAATGCCGACAGTGCATATGCTCAGATCAAACTTGAAAGGGAGTCATAGTTTATTCTGGAGCAAAACATGAGTGCCTCCTGCCCAGGAACACAGATTTAGGTCATCCCAAATACATGCTTCCCTGTGGTAGCATCTTCAGGAAGGCCTTACAGTAACAAAACAATAGACGTCATTAATCAATGTACTTTTAAAGATAAATTGATAGCAGCTTCAGTAGATGTGTAACAGCAAGGGGTCTGGAGGGAGATTTTCCTGCTCCAGGTCTCAGCCAGCTAGCTGATGACATTCTTGGTTTGGGGTTAGTGGAAACCAGGGGCCTGTTCATACAATCTCAAAAGGGTTTTATTTGAGGGCCACAAGGCTGTTAAGGTCAAACAGAGTTGGCATTGGGTTAAGGGGTAAAGATAGCCCAAGATAGTTTGGCTCTAGACCTGCAATATTCCAGCTCTTCATAGTTACAGACATTCTAATCAGCCAGTTATCCTTGGAGAATCTATAACATAGATGCTATTATTCTGGAAATCAGTTCTAATATCTCATAAAAAAATCTGATAACTTCTCAAGAAATTCTCTCTTGGGAAGTCCACACCCATTCTTGGGTGTGTAGTATTATTTTCCCAAGCTCTCTTCTTTCTTTCTGAATGGTCATATCTAAAATCTATGTTATAGGAGCTGGAGAAATGACTCAGAGATTAATAATGTGTATTGCTTTTGCACACGACCTGAGTTTGGTACCCAGTACCTGCATCAGGTGGCTTATATATTCCAGTTCCAGGGGATATAACACCTCTGACATCTTAAGGCTCCTGAATTTGTGTGAATGTAACTGCCCCCCACCCCCAGCCCACAAACAGATCCAGAAGAGGTGAAGCGAGTGACTCTTGGGCTTTGGGAAGACTTCTAGATCAGGAAGATGGCTCTTTCAGCCACAATCTCCATTGCATCCTGTTTAATCAATGGTAGAAAGTTGTCCAGTCCTTTGGGAGTACATTATTTCTTTTCAGGAAACTTTACAAATCCCTCCCATTTGGGAAGCAGGATGTTCAAGTAAAGGATCATAAGTTCTTGCTGTACCACTCATGTTATTTTTAGCAGTGAATGGATTTCTTTCCATTCTTAGTGTCTTGAAATACTATCAGCAGGCATTTATTGAGAGTTAGTTTGTAAGCTCCATGGAAACAGGGATTAAGTTTGAGTCCATGCAGAGCCATATCTGCAGTATCTAGCATAACCCTTGATAATTAATGCAGAGGCAACAAATCAGTAGCTGTTAGTAGGGGTCTTAGTTACTATACTATTGTGAAGAGACAACACTAGCTAGGCAACATATAACAGAAAGCATTTAATTGAGGCTTTACCTAATGGTTTCAGAGGGTGAGTCTAGCATGAGGCAGGCAGGCATGGTGCTAAAGCGATAGGTAAGAACTTACATCTGATCTACAGGCATGAGGCAGAGAGAGAAAGAATAGGCCTGGTGTAGGCTTTTGAAACCTCAGAGCACACCTCCAGTGATGCACTTCTTCCAACAAGGCCACCTTTCTTCCGACAAGGCCACACCTCCTAATTCTTCCTAAAAAAAATAAAATAAAATAAGTTCCACTGTCGTTTCAGACCTGTAACAACAAGCTCACGGATTAGGTAATGTTTGCAACTAAAGTCCGCAGCATGGAGTGCTAGCACCTGGATTAGTCAACTGGACTCATTCCTAGATTACCAGGGAAGCTGGTAATTGCCATTGATTACCATGTGAAATGTCTAAAACTATTTTTAAACAGGAAGAGTTGTGTATAAGCAAGTGCACACACATGTGTGATGTGTGCATGTGTTTGTACATGCGTAGGTGGGCATGTGCATTTGGAGGTCAGAAATGAGCAGCAGGCCATCTCCTTCACCTTACTTGTTTTGAGACAGAGTATCACTGAACCTGGAGCTCATTCATTTTTCTGGGCTGTCTTGTCAGTTGCCATAGGGATCTTAAAGTCTCTGCCTCTGCAGTGCTGGGGTTACAGGTCTGTGCTGCTGTACCTGGATTTTCACATGGGTGCTGGGGATCCAAATTCAAGGCCTCATCTTTATATGGCAAGTACTTTACTGACTGAGTGAATTTTCTAGCCCAAATAGGGGGAATTTAAAAGTCTTGTCTAAGCCTTTTGGCTGGGGCAGACACCTAGCTGGTCTGCTCCTGTGAAGACACCATACCCTGAGACATCCTAGAGGAGCCACTGCACTCAGAGCAGTGGGTAAGAACCCTCTCCCACTACCCAGAGCTACAACTGGGAGCTCAGAACCCATCAGCCACCCAAACCCCGCCCTTACCAAATACCACTTCCTTTCCGCCCCTCTCGATTGGTCCTTTTGACTGGGGCAGACACCTAGCTGGTCTGCTCCCATGAAGACACTAGATCCTGAGACATTATAGAGGAGCCACTACACTCAGAGCAGCAGAATTTCAGGATCCCAGAGGTGGCCAGAGTCCCAGGAATTCTTCCACCCAGGAGCTAAGGATCACAGAGACATCTGGACTCTGAAGAGTTCTGACACAAGATAACTGGAAAGACAGACTCCAGTCAGAGACAGTGAATGCAGGTAGCACTAGAGTTAACCAGATGGTGAAAGGCAAGTGCAAGGACATAGGCAATAGAAACCAAAGTTACCTGGCATCATCAGAACCCAGTTCTTCTACCATAACAAGCCCTGGACACCCCATCACACCAGAAAAGCAGGATTCAGAATTAAAATCACTTCTCATGATGATGATAGAGAACTTTAAGAAGGACATAAATAACTCCCTTAAAGAAGTACAGTAGAACACAGGTAAACAGGTAGAAGCCCTTGAAGAGGAAACACAAAAATCCCTTAAAGAACTGCAAGAAAACTCAACCAAACAGGTGAAGGAATTAAACAAAACCATCTAGGACCTAAAAATGGAACTAGAAACAATAAAGAAATCTCAAAAGGAGACTACCCTGGAGATAGAAAACCTAGGAAAGCGGTCAGGAGTCATAGATGCAAGCATCAACAGAATACAAGAAATAGAAGAGATAATCGCATTGCAGAAGATACCATGGAAAACATTGACACAACTGTCAAAGAAAATGAAAAATGCAAAAAGTTCCTAACCCAAAACATCCAGGAAATCCAGGACACAATGAAAAAAACAAACTTAAGGATAATAGGTATAGATGAGGGTGAAGATTCCCAACTTTAAGGGTCAGTAAATATCTTCAACAAAATTATAGAGGAAAACGTTCCTAACCTAAAGAAAGAGATGTCCATGAACATACAAGAAGCCTACAGAACTCCAAATAGACTACACCAGAAAAGAAATACTTCCTGTCACATAATAATCAAAATATCAAATGCACAAAACAAAGATAAAATGCTAAAAGCAGTAAGAGAAAAAGGTAAAGTAACATATAAAGGCAGACCTATAAGAATTACACCAGACATCTCACCAGAAACTATAAAAGCCAGAAGATCCTGGACAGATATCATACAGACCCTAACAGAACACAAATGCCAGACCAGACTAGTACACCCAGCAAAACTCTTAATTATTATAGATGGAGAAACCAAGATATTCCATGACAAAACCAAATTTACACAATATCTTCCCATAAATCCAGCACTTCAAAGGATAATTGATGGAAAACTCCAACACAAGGAGGGAAACTACAACCTAGAAAAAGCAAGGAAGTAATCTTCCAAAACC